TCACCAGAACCACTGACGTTCCTCTGAGCGATGAGACATGAAGTGGAGACTGCAAAGGAGCCACCCCTTAGGAATGAGGCTCAATTAGCTCTAGAATCATGGCTATTGACGAACAGCCTTTAAAATATCTTAGAAAAAACTTCAAAAGAATCTAATTAATCCACAAGTAATTAACTGACTATCATAAAAAGGCCAACATTCTTTGAAGGAACACACACAAAAATATCCAAGATTCAACAAGAGAAAATTAAAAATATCTGGCATTAGTTGTTTTGGTTTTTTTAAATCCATAAGAAGAGCCCAACTTGTGTGGCTCAGTGGTTGAGCATCAACACAGGAATAAAGAGGTCATTGGTTTGATTCCAGTCAGGGCGCTTGCCTGGGTTGCAGGCTCAATCCCCAGTAGGAGACATGTAGGAGGCAGCTGATCAATGATGTTTCTCTCTCAGCAATGCTTCTATCACTCTATCCCTCTCCCTTCCTCTCTCTCTAAATACCGATAAAAAACATATGTAACTCCATATGAAAAAGCAAGGAAATGTGACTCATAATGAGGATAAAAATCAGTCAATAGACATAAACCCACAAATAACTGAAATAATGGTATTAGCAAAAAAAATACATTAAAATTGCTAACATACATATGTTCCAAGTACTTAAGCACATAAAGGAAATCATGAGCACAAAGAAAAAAGAAGTTGAAGACTGTAAAACACCCAAGTAAAATATCTAGAGAGGAAAAATAAAATATAACATTTATAAAAGTCAAGATTAGATATCACAGAAGGAAATTAACTTTTAATTAATAGCAGTATAAACTATCCAAAATAAAAAAGCAGAGAGGAAAAATACTTGAAAAAAAAAAAAAACTTGACCTCAATGACTTAGTGGACAATATAAAATATACTAATATACTTGTTATTAACGCCCCAGAAAGGGAAGAGAAAAAATAAGACAAAACAAACATTTGAAGAAATAATGACTAGGTTTTTACCAAATTTGATATAAGAATTCAAACTCCAACTATGACGACAGAAAAAAAAATCACATCAAAGCATATTATTATCAAATTTTGAAAAACAATGAAAACTATACTTTAATGGCAGCCAAAGGAAAAGCAAACATAAGAATGACAGCAGACTCTTCACCAGGCACTGCAGTCCAGAAAACAGTGGAGTGACCTTTAAAACTGTCAATCTAGAATTTTATATGCATCAAAAATCACTTTAAAAAATAAAGGTAAAATAAAGGTCTTTAAAATCACAGAGGATTCATGGGCCACACAATATATCAGCAATCTTACCCTTAGATGCCTATCCTATTAAAAACTAAGCACACGCGAGAGACCAAGATGGCGGCATAGGTAAACACCGGAGACTGCTGCCGCAAACAACCACTTCAAAAATACAACTAAAAGACGGAACGGACATCACCCAGAACCACAGGAAGGCTGGCCGAGGACAGACTCTTCAACTAGAAGGAAAGAGAACAGCATTCCGAGGCTCAGAGGAGGCGCAGTGTGGAAAATTTAAAGGTGCGGTGGTGCGCGCGCAAAGCGGGCTGGTGGCTGAGGGCGCGGTTGTCGTTTTCAATCAGGAGGGAGTCTCAGACTCCAAGCTCCAGATCCGGGCGAGTCTCTAGGGACTCAGACTCACACGGGAGAAGCGGGATTGTCTGGCATCAGTTGGAACATGAGGGCAGCTTTCTCTCTGAGGTTTGCAGCGGTTGCCAGGGTTCTGAGAAGCAGAGCCTCTGGGAATGGGACTGAGAGCAGCCATAACTGCTCCCTCCGCCCGCCCTGTTGATCCCCTGCGACCCGACCCGCCCAAGCCCTGCGCAGAGCCATTTGCCGGATCGCCTCAGGCAAAGGCTAGATTAGCACCTCTCCAGAGGACAGAAGTTTTCCCACAGCTGATTCTCACAGCCAGTCAGCCTGGTGGTCAAATCCCTCTAGTATTAACTACAACAATCAAGGCTCAACTAGAACAAGACTGCGCACAAAGACCACAAGGGGGTGCACCAAGAAAGCATAAAAAATGCGGAGACAAAAACACATGACAGAAATGGAGGATATAGAGCTAAAAAACGCAATTTTGAGGGCTTGCAATAATGTGCTAGAAGCTGCCAATAAACTTGATGAGAGCCTCACGAAAACTAATGAGACCCTCGATGCTATGATAAAGAACCAACTAGAAATTAAGCATACACGGACTGAAATAAAGAATATTATACAGACACCCAATAGCAGACCAGAGGAGCGCAAGAATCAAGTCAAAGATTTGAAATGCGAAGAAGCAAAAAACACTCAACCGGAAAAGCAAAATGAAAAAAGAATCCGAAAATATGAAGATAGTGTAAGGAGCCTCTGGGACAGCTTCAAGCGTACAAATATCAGAATGATAGGGGTGCCAGAAGATGAGAAACAGCAAGATATTGAAAACCTATTTGAAGAAATAATGGCAGAAAACTTCCCCCACCTGGTGAAAGAAATGGACTTACAGGTCCAAGAAGCGCAGAGAACCCCAAACAAAAGGAATCCAAAGAGGACCACACCAAGACACATCATAATTAAAATGCCAAGAGCGAAAGACAAAGAGAGAATCTTAAAAGCAGCAAGAGAAAGAGACTCAATTACCTACAAGGGAATACCCATACGACTGTCAGCTGATTTCTCAACAGAAACTTTGCAGGCCAGAAGGGAATGGCAAGAAATATTCAAAGTGATGAATACCAAGAACCTACAACCAAGATTACTTTATCCAGCAAAGCTATCATTCAGAATTGAAGGTCAGATAAAGAGCTTCACAGATAAGGAAAAGCTAAAGGAGTTCATCACCACTAAACCAGTATTATACGAAATGCTGAACGGTATCCTTTAAGAAGAGGAAGAAGAAAAAGGTAAAGATACAAATTGTGAACAACAAACATGCATCTATCAACAAGTGAATCTAAGACTCAAGTGAATAAATAATCTGGTGTACAGAATGAACTGGTGATTATAATGAATCAGGGACATAGAAAGGGAATGGACTGATTATTCTTGGGGGGGGAAAGGGGAATGGGAGGTGCGGGAAGAGACTGGACAAAAATCGTGCACTTATGGATGAGGACAGTGGGTGGGGAGTGAGGGCGGAGGGTGGGGTGGGAACTGGGATGAGGGGAGTTATGGGGGGTAAAAAAAAAAAAGAGGAACAAATGTAATCTGAACAATAAAGATTTAATAAATAAATAAATAAATAAATAAATAAATAAAAGTTAATCAGGCCCTAAAAAAAAAAAAAAAAACTAAGCACACGCATACACACACACAGTAAATACACGTGGGTGAGGATCTTTATTGCAACTGTGTACAGTAGCAGCAGGCCGGGAGCATATCATTACTGGCAGCTTGTAAGTTTGCTCATCCCTCTGGGTGCTAGAATGTATGTGTGACCCCACATGAATACTCATGTACTTTTGCAGTCATTCTCGGGCACGTACAGCGTGACAAAAGATTTGAGTATCCCACTGCCTTCTGGTTTCAGCTGTCATACCATAAACAAGTCTTCTTTTTGTGGTCCACACAGTGCCACGTTTTCCACATTTTTGTGGGTTTTCTGTTGGTGATTACGCTGTTTAAAAATGGCCCCCGGGAATGATGCTTAGTGCCCCCTGGGTTCTGAAGCACGAGAAGGCTGCGCTGTGCCTTACGGGGAAAACACGTGTGTGAGATGAGCCCCTTTAGGCATGCGTTACCGTGCTGTTCACCATGAGTTCATGTCAATGAGTCAGCAACATACAGTCAATACAATGTCTTTAAACAGAAACACGCATAAAACAAGGTTACGTGTTGATTGGTTGACAAAAGTATTATGACCAGAGGCTCATGGGAACCTACCCTTAGGAACAGTGTTCACTAATCCAGTATTTTTGTGGACTTTATAGAGCATAACTGCCAGGAATAGCAAGGACTTTCTGGAGAGACTAAATGAAGAATTAAGATGTAGCCAGCACTGGAGAACATGATGCAGGCTTTAAAGATCACTAAGTCAAGCTCAAGCAGTTGCTTTAAAGCCATTCCCTAAAGTTATTGTTTCGTGAGAAAGAAAACCACAGGGAGACATGGCACCGCTGTCACTTCCAGCTGGGGCGACACTTCTCTATGTGTCTGTGCACAGCCGTCTGTGTGTTGCCTGTGGCTGTACGGTCATGTATCCAGTGACACACACCAGGCTGGCAGCCCCGGGCTCTTTCTGGGGGGCAGTGTGAACACAGCAGGAAAGTGGGGGCAGGGGGAGGTCAGTTGAAGGGAAGCAGCACTTTTTTTTTTAATATATTTTATTGATTTTTTACAGAGAGGAAGGGAGAGAGATAGAGAGTCAGAAACATCGATGAGAGAGAAACATCGATCAGCTGCCTCCTGCACATCTCCTACTGGGGATGTGTCCGCAACCCAGGTACATGCCCTTGACCGGAATCGAACCTGGGACCTTTCAGTCCGCAGGCCGACGCTCTATCCACTGAGCCAAACCGGTTTTGGCGAAGCAGCACTTTTGATTAACTTATTTATGTACAATTACCTGTGCAGTATGAAGAGCGCGAAGGCAAACATAGTAGTCCCCGTGCTCTGCCTGTGGGCCAGGGTCTGTGCTGAATGCGACTCTATTTCAGGGACAGATCTGCCTGCCATAAACTTTGAAGTATGAGAATGAACAAATGGAGGTGCGTTTAAAGAGAGAGAAAGGTTGGGAGTCTTCTGGGGAAAAGGCTATTTGTTTTTACGTTTATTTCTATTGATTTGTTTCAGTGGATACAGTAAGTATTGTTTTGTTGAAATTTGAAAAAAATACAAATAAAATGGGGTAAAAGCATCAATTCAATGACTATCATGCAGCAAACGGAAGGGTATAGCCATTTTTAGCCGATGTGAGCCAGTTGGCTGCATGTTGGTTTTGTGAGCAACTTTCGAGAATGTGCTACGTGACAGGGATTCTTCACAGCCTGTGTTCTCTCCCTTCTAGGAATCGTTACGAGCCGTCAGATACGAGATATCTCCCGATAAGGAATATGCACTTTTCTCCTACAACGTGGAACTCGTGAGTACTCGTTTTCCTGTCTGTGAGAGAACTGTTTCCTGGGCTCACACCTCACTAAGCACTTTTCCTTGACTCTTCATTCTTAGTGACCTTTGAATAGTGGGTCCTGGGTAATCTCTCATGTCACACTGCCACCTAGGAGAGAGGGAAGGTATAAAATTCCTCAACAGAAAATAAAACCACTCCTGTTAGGGGCTATTTTATAGGATTTTCTTGGGGAGATGGTGCGAAGTTGCATTTTTATAGAGATTTATGTTACCCTGTTATGCAATTCTTTTTTTGCATTTTCTCAATCACATCATCAATGTTATCCCAAGAACAAAAGCAACTGGCAGTTTCTTGCTAAACTAAAATAAAATGATCATTATCTCCCAGGCATCATAATCTTCTAGAGAAAAGTTGAACTATCACCTTATTATATAAAATCTCTGTTTTTAGCACTTCATATATGAGTCTTCATAAAACGTCACCAGAAATTTCCACAAAATCTCATCCTAGGCGCTAGTGGCAGCCTAAAACTGGCTCTTTCTTCCTTCCTTTCTCTTTTCATTGAACATGATTTAAAATTACTTTTAAATGAGCTTTTTACTTTTAAATGAGCCAGAAGGTGAGGTTTCTTTGTATCCATGAGGCAGATGCTCAGCGTGGAAGAGATTTGCGACTTTAGAGATGTTCGTTTGTGGAACTTTGTATCCTGGCCCAGAAGATGCAGAATTCCACGGCCTTTATCGTTCTCCGGAGGCCATTCTTGTTAGCGTTTCTGCAGCGCCTGCCGGGCGGGAGACAGGTCCCTGCGCTGTGAGCATCGTCCCGGCACTGGGTGGGCCGGCTTCTTGACTTCACCCCTTCGGGAACCGGGGGGGTTGGTTGGCATGGAGATGCAAGTCCAATTCTAGGAGTTGTAGGATGTCTTTTAAAAGCTGTTTGATACCTGGATGCTTTATTGGAGATTTCCGTTTCATTCCTCTCGGTGCAGGGCTTTTCTCTGTCTTCAGTTTTCCGTCTTCTGGGTTGTTGTTGTTTTAAGGTCCGGCCCATAGAAGTTTTTATTTCCTCCCTCCAAATCCTTGGGACAACTGGTCACTGTGTCCTGCTGACTGGGGGAAGTTACTGAACCTGACAGCCTTGGATTCTGCACACCCTACACGGCCCCGGCCTCACCTCTTTGAGCTGCAGATGCACAGACCGGGCGTGCGTGGGTGCTGGAGCATTCAGCTCCTCTCATCACCCTTGGGAACTACCAAATGTGACACCCACACCTGAATTTAACAACCACCTCAGCAGCTCTGTGACGGACTTCACAGGGATGGACGGTGGCTGGTTCTCGATTGCCCGGGGACAGGCCGCCCGAGTGGGCAGAGCGCAGACGGACGGTGTCAGGGCGTCTCGCTGAGCACCTCTCATACTGGGAGCATCCCAACGGCGGGGTGAAGGACCTGTGGCCATGAGCGTCCCGCTCCTAGAGCCATATTTGTTCTCCACAGTCCTGTGGGAGAGCCGCGCCTGCTCCTGGAGCGCGGGCCGGTGTGACTCCGGGTCTGTGCTGGGAGGATTCTCCCCCGCCCGCCTGCCTGCTCTCCCACCGGCTCTTAGAAAGAGTCCCTGATCTCATGGCAGCTGATGGCTGCGGGGAAAGCATTCGGGAAACATGCGCCCTCACCATGCAGACCGCTGGCTGGAAGGGCAGCCTCCTCACCAGGCAGCGTCCACCGCTGGCCTGTGGAGTGAGACTGTGTTCAGTGTTTCTCAACTGAGGGAAATGTGAGCAATTTGGAGTGGATCTGGCAAACTGCAAAATGATTCAAGCATTGAAAACGTGTGCCATGTAACAGACATAGATCCCTGGGACCTGAATCAACAGGTAACTCCTGCCCTGGCGGGTGGCTCCCGTTGGTTGGACCATCATTCTGTACAGGAAAAGGTTTCAGGTTCGATTCCCAGGTCAGGGCGTGTACAGGAGGCAACTGATCGATGTTTTTGGTCTCACGTCGATGTTTCTCTCCCTCTCGCTCTCCCTTCCTCTCTCTCTAAAAAAAATGATAAACCTAACTCAGATGAGGATTAAAAAAAAGAAAT